CCCCCCCCGAATCCCCCTTACATGAACTAAAACTGAATGATTACTTACCTGTTTTGCTTCTCCAACATGGACATGGTCCTTCTGTTTTTCTTCATACATGTTTCTCAAAACAGAGATAACCAACTCATTCTCTTTTTGATCATTGCTTGGTCTTAATTTCTTTAATTGAAAACACCACAAGTACAGTAATTATATATTTGTATAACAGTTAGCAAATAACCACTCTTTTCATTTTGTCACTGTCAGTACACCATTAATGTAAGAACCAGTTTAACTTGGTTAATGCTACTGCTCCAGTCCACCAGAGGACACCAGTGTCCCAGGCAAAGCAGCAACACAGCTAGGGAAACACTTGACCTCACTTTGTACACAACCCTATTTACATGAAAAGACAACTCTGGAGGTATTAAATTGCCACAAGCATATTAAGACATAAAAAAAAATTTTTGCCAATCTGCTTTTGATGTAAAGAAAACCAAAACACTGTGGTTCTGATGCACAACCCTTCTCCTAGGAAACGACATAGGTATTTTAAAAATTAGTGCACAAGGTGAAATTATTTTTCTCTGCTGCATTCTATTCAGATCTGAATTATTGTAAAAGAAAATGTTTTTTAGAACAAGTTATTATAGAATTTAATCCCAGAAACCTAACTTTTGAAAAGCATATGCTGTTTAAAGCCTACTGATGTCATGCAGCAGATACAGTATGAATTAGGCAATGCCAAGGTAGCACATCATATTAATAAAAATATCCTTGGAAAGACAGTTATCTAAAAATGTAAATCATGGTTACAACATATGGAGCTGTGAGAATGCTACAGCTAAAATTTCAGGCAGTTCAACTCAAAAAATCAGCTGACAAAGACAGGCAGGAGAGACATACCCTTGGTTTGACCAAGTTAATCATTTGCAGACAGCAATTAACAGTTTCCCATGACTACTAGAAGGCAACAGTGTCAGCCAGCTGCTGTATACTAAGAAATTACTTAGCTCATGAATCAGTCCCACAAAGTAACTTCCAAATTTGGTACTGGATGATAAACTGCCACAAGGAAACTGAAATGACTCAAGAGAGGAAGGAAACAGTATTTTTAAAAAGTCTGAAATTTCTTAATCTTCAATAGTGTGCCAATCCCAAAGACATTTCCTACAACATTCATCATCTGTCTTACATCCAGCTATGCTTTCCCCTGTGCTAAAGTGGATTTAATACAGAAGACAAAGTTAAACTTTTTTAGTTAGTTTGACAAGTATTAAGATTAAGGATAAATTTTAGGCAGGAAATTTTCTGATCTGGGAACGTTACAGTAATTTGGTTTGGTCAAATTAACAACTGAATGTTCTCATAGTATAAGTTATTTTTCCTTCACCTACAAAAAATGTGTGCATTTTTACTCAGTGAGAAGTTGACGTTCTCATTGAAAACAAGTAGTATTACGGGGAAAAAAAAAGTAAAATAAGCCATTTTCATAAAAAACAAGTTTTTAACAGCTGTAAAAAATATTTAAATTAAACCACAAGGTGACTAACAGTCTATTAAATGAAGATAATTCACAAAAGAAAAAAAACTTTGGTGCTTCATGCTGATGTTACCAAAAAGTATCTATTGTTCTAAAATCTTGTAGGAAACACAAAACCTACCTTAACCTCTTCAAAAACAGAGGCCTGCTCCTGGTTACTTAGTGTTGTTAGATGCTTTTGTAGTTCTAGTTTAGTCTTAGAAGGGTGTAACCCTGCCAATAAGAACAAAAAGGAACAAATCACAGGGTCAAAATTGTCAGAATTAATCAATCAACGTAAACATGCACACAATTTAAGCCAAAGCTTGTCAGGTATTTGAGCTGACCCATTGCAGTGATTTCATAATGGGACATTAGAAAGAACTCTAGGTTAATTTAAAGCTGTTAGTGAACTCATGTCTTTAAAATGAGGGGCATGAACTCTGTAATGAGGAGATTTACTGAGCACAGACCAGGATTATACTCTTAGCTGAAGATTCCATTATCAGACAAAATAAAATAAACCCACAATCCACTGCATTTTAGCATACTGCTTTGCTGGTGGTTTATGCAGTACTATTTAGATTTTGCTAATAGTACAAATATGATTTCTATCGATTTTCTTCAATTTTATACCTTAGCCTCTTCTGAAAAAGAGTATATCTATCCCATGTTAGTAAAATTCTTGCTTTGCCTCTCGCTAACAACATTCACCGACAGACCAAAGCAGACTACTCTCTCATTCAGATTATTTTTCCTGCTCTCATCCTGGATTAATTTCCCTTCCTCTATTTTCTGTGGAAGAAGGGCAGACCATCAACAGTATTTTGTACTTCAGTTTCTGATCATGGCATTTCTCCTTCAGAAGCAGATGATCTGTTTAACCAGATGGCATGATTAAAGGCATTAAGAATTCTTTGCCTTTAAGAAATGACTCAAAAAATCATAGCTAGCTGAAGACCAAAATAGAGTGAAAAATACTTTTGGAAGTTCTCCAGTTTCATCAAATTAATACTAGGTAGGTTTTAGTCCAACAAGCTACTGCCATGTGATCTGACAAGCTGCTTGTTGCCCTTTATTCACCCAAGAGATCACTTAAACAAAACCCAACTGTGAAATTTGCTGAAATGCAAAGAGGTTTTGTTCATTTTTTTTTTTCCCCTTGAACTTGTTTTCTGAACAACACCTACAACTCTTAACTGCTGCATTTTTATGAAGGGGCATAAATCAACACCACAAACGTGTATTAAAAGCATACTGTTCAGTTCATGCTTATGGTAGTGTAATGCCAGTATTTAAGTGGATTCCACAGGATGGGGGTCATAGCTATTGTAGCATGTATTCTTAAGAAGTCCCTTACCAGCAGTTTTCAGGGTTTACACAGCTAATAGAGCCATGCTAGCTGCAATTCAGTAATACTTAGACTCTCGATTAGTTTTCAAAAATTCAACTAAAATATAAGAAAGGAGCTTAACTTTTCTTTAGAAAATTCTAACTACCTTAAGATAACTTGACATTGCAGCCCACTAAATAAGAAGATTGGCTTTCAACCCTCCATCCCAAGTCTCAAGCTCTTTTTAAGCATTCATTCCCATAGAGTTTCACATGTAAGACTGTCCCCAAGTAAAATTGTTAGAAAAAATACTCAACCAGGAAGTTCTTTAAACCTCACCTTCTATCTTTTCACAGAGTTTATGCAAGTTTTGCATAGGACATCCTTCACAGAGCTGGGGCTGTGCCTTGGAAGTCTGCTGCACAGCAGCTACAGTGAAAGCCTGTTTCAATGTCATCATGATTTCATCAACCTGAAAACAGTAGAGTGCAAAAGAACAGAACTTCACTCCTCCACTGAGATTCTGTTTTCCTTAATACTAACACAAAAGTCATTTTAGAATGATACTGCCGCTTGTTTGGGAATGTGGTTATGATTAAAAACCAAAGCTGTTCCCCTGCCATTTCTGCACAAAAACACAAAAGCAAGACAAAACTCATTGTGAAGTCTCAACTCTTCCATGCCACCCAATTTTATTACTGTTGTCTAATAAAAGATACTACCTTTATCTTGTCTGTGATAAAAAAAGCTTACTGCAGTTGTGATGTACTGGCCTGACCTAGAACACAGTGTAGTCCAGATTTTCTGAATGGGTGCACTATGAAGAAACCCTCTTCTCAAAAAGAGGCATACAGTCTTAACTTACTTTGTCCAATGAATGAAGTTTTATTGGATTTTAAAGGGGATTTAAACTTCTGCCTTCAAAACAAATTAAAAATTCCTTTGCAGACTGCTATGTTAGTTACATTTTTGAAATAATTATATTTCTGAGTGGAGCAGGATTTGAAGACATTCAGCAAAATACAGAGCGTAGAGCAACAGAAGACTTTTAGGACCTAATATTCTAATAGAGCAACAGAAGACTTTTAGGACCGCAACAGAAGACTTTTAGGACCTAATATTCTATTAGGCACTTACCAGTGCTTCATCTGTACACTGAAACACATAGCAGACAAAGTGGAAGCCTCCATTTTCTGAAGACTCTCTGCAGATGAACCCAAAGTGATCCACGTGTCTAATTCCCTAGTACAAAAACAACAGTAATGAAGCAGTCATACGTACTTTCTATGTTTTGTGCTTGTATTTCTTCAAGTAAGAGAAACATGAAAGACCCAATAGCGTTACATATAGGTCCCATATCACTGTTACAGCTACATTAAAGTCATCTGGTCATTAAAAATCTATTGTTATAGAATCTATTACTTCATGAATCTTTTAGATTTCACTTAAATCTAAGATTGTTTGTTGGTTCTGGTGGTGTTCTCTTGTTGGAGTGGGGTTTTTTTTTCCCTTTTTTTTTTTTTTTAAATGACTGAATTAGAATAGATCCACTGGAAAATACAGGGAAGAATAAATGCTACTCAGGATGTATTTTATTCAATACTGGAAATATCAGGTGGGGAAGCTCACGTTGTTTTTTTTCTCTTTTGCTTAAGCAGTCAACAATTGCTCTACATTTCTAAGAGCAAACGAAGCAATAGTGAAAAATTTATAAACTTCTTCTCCCCCCACCCAAACCAAAGCTTGGCTAGTTAAAAACTGAGAACGTTTTAACACATTACTTAAAGATCACACACGGAACCACTTGTTTTTGCTAAAAGGCATGCAAATTCAGACACACCCTGTAACAGCAGATAAACGTTACATCAGCAAATAAATATCAGCAGATAAAATGTACATGGTAAAATGCTAAGAAGGTTTTCTAATTGCTGGGAATTTTTCTTTTATGAAAAGACTTTCAGATGAGCAGAGTTAGGTGATCCCAGTGCACATCTCCTCAGTGCACCATTCTTAGTTAAACTAAAAAAAATAGTAATCCAACAAACCACACTTATGATGATCAACTACATGCACAGTGGTAGAGACTGTTTATAAAAATTCAGTTATACTCAGCGCCATTTTAGTACCTGCTAGATGTTACATTAAAATCAGGTAAAGAGAACCAATACACAACTGTACCAATAATCGTAACGATGAATCACAGTAAATGAGATATTTCAGTGAAATGTAAACCATCTGAATATGCCAAGCAGGACTTTGCACAGCTGTGCATCAGGCCCACTGAAATCTTAAACCAGAGCTGCCCAGGGTCTTCAGTCTAGCTCATATTATTATCACTGCACACAGAAATGAGTCTTTATCTCAAAAATCACAATGCAAAGCACAAGAAAATAACCATAGTTTTACAAGATTACTGATTAACTAGCAACTTGCCAATAGCAATTACTGAAACTGCTGGGGTGGAATCCATTTGAAATGCTAGGAGACAGGAATACATGAGCATTTACAAGTGGAGAACATCAAAATAAAAATTAAAAAAATAAAAAAAAAAAAAAGAGAAAGAACACTACAATCTTACCTGAGAACAAAATGATATTTCTTTAAAGCTTTTTTCAATTGCTACTTTTTTTGTGTCAGGACTGATAAGGTAAACTTCAGACTGGCCAATCTAAAAAGAGCAAAGTAAAAAGCAAGATGATAACAAGTAACATTACACTTCCTTTTGTCTTGCTATAAAATGCTTCCTGGACATAAGTCTCAATTTTTTTTTACCTGTATATTTAGACCAATTAGTGTATTATTATCGTGTATTATTACCAGGGAAA